ATAACTGTAACATTAATAGGTAGATAAAATTTAAATTACATAATATTTTTTAAAACATGTAAAAAATTAAAATGTCCTGAAATTAAAATTATTAAAAGATCTAATCACAACACAACCATTATTTAAGTGAAGTCTCACTTAAATAATAATTATGATTGGATCTCATGATAATTTTAATATTAAAATATTTTATTTTTACTTTTTTATATTTTTAAAATAATAATAATTAATATGATTTTTCTTTTTTTTACTCTAGAGTGTGATATATGGATAATTTTTTATATTATTTTTATACAATATTTATATATTATTAAATAAATAAATACATTTAATATTATAACTTCTAAATAAATAAAAAAAATTAATTATTTTAATATGCATGATAAAAAAATTTAGAAAAAGGTTTTCTTAAATCATTTTCCTTTTACTCTATTAGGACTTTGACGTGGCAGGTTTTAATTGGAAAGGAAACGAGGACCTGGTTCGATCATTTTGTCGTGGGAATGGAAGAGTATAAACACTGGATGAGTGGAAGAAAAATGTGTAACCCGCCGGCTATCTCGTCGTAGATGACTGCAAGAACGCGCGAGTGAGAAAATGGAAGACCTCTACGCTCTGGACTTTGACGGCCTTCTCTGCGACAGCTGCGGCGAGAGCTCACTCTCCGCCGTCAAGGTACTTCCGTGTTTCACTCTTAGCTGATATGCTTACTAAATGACGCATTTTAGAGAAGAAATGCGGTTTTTTTTTTTATGAAATATATATATTTTTTCTTTTTTTTGGTGTGCAATAGGCTGCCAAGGTGAGGTGGCCGGGTTATTTGACGGCGTGGATTCGGCGACGGAGGACTGGATTGTCGATCAGATGTACACAGTATGTTCTTGCTTTCTTTCTTAATATGTTTAAATTTTTTTTTTTTTTTTTGGAAATGTATAATTGCGATTCTGTAATTTGGTCTCAATTTAATCGAAATTGATGCTCAATTAATATGACCAACTATATCCATGGATTGTAGTTGTTTGATTTTAAGGACTGAAATCTGTTCGGAGCTGAAATGTAAAGAAATTTGAACTTATTATTTCCATATCATTCTAGTTGGTTAATTTACTAGAAATATTATAAATTTTCATTTCAAATTACAGATTCACTTACCATTATTTATAATAATAG